GGCGGGTGCCAGTACGTCCTGATGCATGGACATTGCTTGCTTGTGAGCACTTGGATGATGAGGATGAGTGTGACTCGCGCGTTTACTTTTGACATTGCTCGGGACCCGGCTACCCGTCCCTCCCTCATAGGAATCTCGATGGGAGGGGGATGTTGCAGTTGATAATCCAGCTGCGTTTTCCTTGTTAAAAGCGCGCATGTGTATACCCTGTACATGTCACATGGGGGATCAGAATGTCAAGAAAGCGAACGACTATACTATAACAATGACAATTTATGGCTCGTAGCAACACCTGTCCCTCTCTCCACCTGATGTGGTCACCTTTCTGTCGGCGACACGGAGGTCAAAGCGTCACAAGAATGCCAAGATATAGACCCTACGTAAGGAAGGTAAATATGCTGTACCATATGCAGCTCATGTAGGCGACGCAAAATGCCTCGCGTACATTCAGACAGCTCTGGTCAAAATCTAGTGCCGCCCAAGGCGGAAAGTTAAGGTGGAACGGTTTTTAATTCAAAATTTTGAACCTCGGTTGCCCGGTCAACGTGGGAGCAAACATGCAGTCGTGTACCATTTGTGGTGCAGTCGAGGGGGACATATCGAAGCGGGAGCAAACAACTCTTACAGGTTACCGTATGAATTATTAGGAAGTCAAACCGGGCATCAGGCTTCTCAAGATTGTGCAAGAAAGAAGAAAAGAATAGTGAAGGCATTAATCAGGCTTGGACGGCTAGAAAGAGAAAACAAACCAGGCAAACGGAATCTCTCCTGCCCCTGCCCCTGAATTGACATTGATTCATCGAGATGAAGCTTTGCTGGGCATGGAACCGTACACGATGCGGGGAGGGTCTGGGATACGACCTGCCCAGCTTCGTAGTTCTTTTTTAGCGTATATCAGTTGCATGTCGTCCGATTTTCTTCACATTTTCACCAATCTTAAAAACTGCCCCAGTATCATTTGTATTTTTCATTATGACTCGTCTTTTTGTTGACGTGCATGTGCGCCTGAAACGCCCTCTTCCTCTTGCGGAGCTCCCTCCCAATGCTGCAGCCTCCGCGTGCATCCCTTCCCTCTTTCCCACCAATTTTACCCTCACTACTTCGTGCATTACAGCTACCTCTCTCTTTCTCCACTTCAGAGGCATCAGGCTTTGAAAGAATATACGGGGACTGGTGCTTGTTGACACGCATACGAAGTCATCTACCTCGCGGCCCTCCCTTCCTGGGTGCACGCCTCCGTAATTTTTCTCTGACCTTTGTCATTCGAGGCTTCAATACCACCTCAATCCTACAGCAACATTTGATGCATGCATAGTATCGGTGTAGACCTGATAATAAATTCTCCAAAGCTCCGTGGTCTGTATTGCCAGGAAACCGCTTCTCCGCCACCTTCCCGATCCTAAGCCGATCCGATCCTTTCAGCGACAGAACAGCGAAGCGACTCGGAAACATGGAAAACCCATAAGGCATGAAAACCATGGCACTTGTTGTTCCCGACACATCCACGCAAAGCCGTGTTATGTTGTATGATGTACGCACGGCCTGGATGGCATGTGCTCTGCGTCACGAGGGTATTCGTATTGCGGCGTTTTACGCTTGGAAGGGTGGTACGTGGGGATGCTGACGTTCTTTGGTATCCAGCGCAGCCACGTCCCCGCCCCATTCGAGTCCTACCGCAACTTATACTCAGCAACCCTCCCGACACAAATGCGGGAGCGCTTCAGTCCCTCCCAACCTTTTATCATCAAAGATGCGTGAGTAAGGCTCGTTTACTGGTGTTCCTGATGGATACGAGATCGATGACCGAGTAATGATCATCCTAAGTGCTGCTGCCCCTACCTATATGCCCTCATCGCCCCTAAACCACATGACAGAGCCAACCAAGATGGGGCGAATAAGAGGACACGTCTCTTTCCTGCTTCCTCTGCTTCTTCTTCTGCCAGTGGCTCGTGCATTTTTGGGAAGGGGGCTCACGCCGGCACGCGCATCGATTCCCCTGGGAGGTGGTTGCAATGCGCGCCAGGCTTCTGCGGTGTCGCCTGCCTACGCCATGTCTGCCAACGTCATGGAGAGGCCGCGGTCCCCAGAAACGGACAGTAAAGAGAACAAAAAGGTCTTCGAGCGACTTTTTGTGGAACTAAGCAAGTCACCGTCGGAGGTAAGGTCATGTGTTTGCTTATGTGATGGATCTCCTTGAGGCTCCCTCGTTCCAGCTCGGGCGTTTCGCACCCTCTGCGTCCTCCAGGAGGGCCACCGTGTGCTCATTCCCTTTTTTTCACCCCTTCCTCCTTCCTTTCCCTCTGCTACCTGACTCTTTCCCGCCCGCCACGCCCCCTAGATTCCCCCCCAGGCTCTCGACGAGGCCCTCGCCCTGGCAGCTCGGGGCCGAAGTTGGAGCCGGGCCATGAAATTGTTGCGTTTGCCCACGGCGCGCCCCACCAGCGAGCAATACCACATGGCCATCGTCGCCTGCAAGCGGGCCCAGCACAAATGGTGAGGGAGGGAGGGAGGGAGGGAGGGAGGGAGGAAGGAAGGGTGGAGAAAAGTTCAAGGGAAAGAAGGCCACATTCCTATCCTCCAGGGGGCCAAAGACCTCTCATTCCCTTCCCGTGCACTCCATTCCCGCCAGGCGACAAGCCCTGGAGCTTCTGGACGAAGCCATCGCCCTCGGACTTCGCCCCAACGTGACGACATTTCAAGAGGTGATGACGATCTGCATCCACGCCCAACGTCCCAAAGAAACGGTCGCGATCTTGGACCGGATGGGCAAGGCAGGCGTGCCCGTGGGCTTGTCCTCCTACAATCTGGCCGTGGAAGCCCTCGCCCACCAAGGGGAATGGAAGAAAGCTTTGAAAATCATCACCTACATGGAACGGCAAGCCGTCTGGCCGGATACCCGGACGTACACGAGTGCCTTGGACGCCTGTGCCCGGGCTGGGGAGTGGCAACGCGCCCTCCTCCTCTTGGAGGAGATGGTGACGGTCAAGGGTGTACCCCCTGCGATCGGGTCGTACAACGCCGTGCTCTCGGCCTGCGTCAAGGGGGGGCAATCCGCCCGCGCCACCACCTTCTTCCAGGACATGGTCAAGAAAGAGGTGGGGGTGGACGCCCGGTCCTTTGCGGTGGCGATTGCTGCCTGCGAAGATGGGAACTTGGTGGACCAGGCACTGGCCTTGTGGGAGGAGGAAATGCCCCAGCAATCCCTCCCTCCCTCCCTCCCTCCCCTCCTTGCCCTCTTCCGCGTCCTCCTCAAAGCGGACCGCTGGACGTCCATCCAAGCGATCATC